TTTTAGAAAATTCTATCTAGGAGGTCGGTTTAGAAGGCCACTCTTAATAGAAGGCCACCCTAAAAAGTTTGATCCGACGGGACACAAGAGAAAGCCATGCCCTTCTATTCTGGGGGGGGGTTTACTCACAATTGGGAAGAGATGCTCATATATGGATATATATACCAAAAGATAAATCAGTAGAATGTGGACCAAAAAATTCATTTATTGACTTCGATGTTGCACTGATGGGCGTTCACAAACGGATGAAACAAAAGCTTATCATTCATAATCAAACTGACACTGATATTCATATACAAATAAAATATTCTAACGATAGATACAACAGAACAAAATACTTTGTTTTATGTTCCAAACAAAAAACTTTTGATACAGGCACAAAGTAATACTGAAATCGATATATTTTTTTTTTTTTTTTTAAATAAATTTTTGCACCATTTTTGTGGTAAAATGGCGTCAGAAACGAACGCGTTTGAATGCATTTATTTTAACATCGACTAAACGCATTCGTTTCTAATGCGTTCAAACGCGTCGGTTTTGCACCATCTTTGTGTTAGAAACGCATGGGAAATGAACACGTTCAAACGTGTTAGAAAATGTAAATTTAAAAAATATGTAACTTAAATTTTAAATACATTTGAACGCAATTTTAAATCTATGCTATCTCTATAACATATCTGTAATCCGGAAGAACTAACTGTAGAGTAAAGAATCACAAGTTAGGAACGAAAGGAAACAAATATTACTTACATGCTTTGGGTGTGGTTCAAACATAGGACCTAGAATTAAGCAGCAAACACATAGCCGTCTGAGTTGTAGACGACCGAAAGATGAACTGTATCATTAGTAAATATTTCGATCATCTGGAACTTCATAAAAAAGACTTGTTTTGCTTGCTTGATTCTTAATTCTATGTAATAGTGTTCTATGTAATTTGACCCTCTTTTTTTAGATTTCTTTTTACAGAGGTTTTTCTTCTTTCTATTGCGAAACTCTGCGTTAGTCTTCGAATATTCTGGAGGCTATGAGAGTGCGTTCCGCTAAGACAGTGAAAATTCATATAATAATCTCCGTTCTAGTACGAGAAGAAAGAAGAAAAAATTCGAAAACATAAATTATGAAAAAGAACTGGAAAATTTAAATCATTGTGTTCACTCATCACAATTTGAAGTAAGTATTGTCCATTTAGGATGTACAGATCATTTTGTTTACTACTCGTCCCCCTTCTTTTCCCTCGACTGATGCTTAATATAAATTAACACTTAAAATTTTTAAAATAATAAATAAAAAAATTTATAATCAAAATGTCTGGACCTAATTCAACTCTGAATGTTCACCATTAGAATTTTTTCTTTGTCACAATACAAGTCACCTTTTATTTTGAGAAAAATAATACAACTATGAAAACGATAGAATATGGTCGGTGGTATTAAAACGTTTGCTATAGATTTCCAGTTTGTATAACAGCGTAGTTGAATGTCATTTGTCTCATATTCTTTAGCACTAAATATATCAAATAACCATACTGTAAAACTTAACATTATCCATATATCCATATTTTGTCTATATTTATCTTCTCTATTATATTTACAAATACGGAAAATAATAATTGATTGTAGTACTGATTGAAAAATTGGTAAAAATGAAGCAATTATTGTTAAAGTTCGTATTGCACCTTTTTCTGGATAGTTTAATGAACCATGATATGTGAAACCACAATATGTAACCAATGCCAGATTTGCCCCCACCAAAAAGAATAAATCAATATTCAATTCAACAATTTTATTATATTTTTCTTTCTCATCCTTTTTATCTCTTTTCCAACATTTTAGAAGATAATAAAAAGATATAATTGTATATGCCGAAATAATAGATCCAAGTGAAATTTCAAAACCTTCACTAATTAAAACAACAACTGAAGTATTAGTTTTATTACTGTCTTGAAAGAAAATGATTATAACTGCTCCACTCACTAAAATTATGCATGCAACTAACGCAAGGAGATCAGTCAAGTTTTTCTTATAAACACTGCTACAAACTGATTGACATTTTGAATCGGATCTTTTGTCCACGAGTGGTTCATCTTCTGGATTTTTATGACAGCAACGATTCACTATTGTCGATATAACAGAACAGCAACACTTCACTATTTTCCAATTCAGTATTGTCACTATAATAGAAGCTTTTGAAATGGCTAATAATTCAATCCCACAAAATATTCTAAATTCTGCTCCTAATGGATACAAAAATGGTTCAATATTCTCAAACGAGCTTACATTACTACTCGTATTTACTTTACATGAATCCTCTATATCGTTTTCTTGATGTATCTCTTGGACTAGCAAGATCCCCCATTGAATAAAAGAAAAAAATGAAAAAAATTGCATAAAACATCGTACCCCACCAGTTAGTTTATATTTCTGATAATTTATGATAAATACTCATATGAATAAATGACAAAGACATTTTAAACAATTTTCACATATTGAGACAATAATACGATATTTACATATATATGATGCAAAATTTTTGTTATCGATCGAAAGTGATTGATCGTAAATTCTTGACAAAATAGATAATGAATCACCAACTCCAAGTATGGAAAAAATTGCACTAAGAATTGTATGTTCACTTGAATGAGAATTGTTACCATGTGCATCGTCTGTTCTATCTTCACCGTGATTGGTACTTTTCTGGAAAACAAATGTCCCAAACAGGGATCTAAAAAAATGAAAAACTCACTTTCTGTTCTTCCGGAAAATGAGAAAATCAGTTTTGCAAATTTTCAGAAAACTCACATCAGATCCCTATTTGGGACAAATGAAAAACAGTTTCAATTTTCTGAAGAAGTCCTCTTTTTTAGAGTGCACTTTAAGTTCAGATTTTCACAAAATTTAAATTTGTAAAACCTAAACATCATATTTTAGAACTGAAAAATATAACAATTCGTTCAATTATTGTCACTCTATCACTTCATACATAATCATACAATTTCTAACTACAACTAATTGACGATAGTAAGGTGCTGTATTTACCTCAGCAGATACATCTTGAACCGATTCAGCCATACGTTGTAGAAAACTTTGCTGATAACGAAATGATGTTTGACCAGTGTATTGAATGATATCATTCCAAACATGTAATGACCATTGACGATCAGAAACACTACGTTGTCTTTCTAGTAATCGATAGAAATGTGGTGCTAACGAATCAAAATATATTAAATACGAATCTGAATATGTGACAAGTAATGAACGAACTATGTCCGATGAACGAATCAATATATATGCATCACAATCTTCCTAGAAAACGCAAGAAACAATATTACATGAGGCAAAAATAAATTAGTTCAAAATGCAAATGTTATTTGAAACCTTCACAACTGAAATAAGTGAAAGCACGAAACTTTTAAATTTCTTCTGTGAACCTTCATGATGAATACATTTGCCTGAAGATGAAGCCCGAAAGTACGACAAAACAAATTAAAAATTCCGTACTTTTAATTATCTGAATATTAACATCGCCGTCTGTTAAACATGATCGACCTAATGTTTCAATACACTATAATAAAAATATCACGTAGACTTAAAACTAAAACAGAGTAATAACATACTTTTCCTAATCATGAAAATAATTCATATGGTACCTCGTACTTGATTTTGATGACACTAAATAACTCTTTTTTCATATTTTGCCACATTTGTCTAACACATTTATCACCAAGTAATTTTTCACACTCAAGGAGATGTGGTAATGCTTCAGCTACTGCAGCACAAACACCTAGAAACAATAAGAGAAGGATGTAACACTGTAAACTTTTGAACAAACTTAACAGTACAAACATAAACAAAAGCGAACAAAAATTTCAGAAAATATCCTAGAAGTTTGTGATTAGATGAAAAGAAGCTCAGTATATTTTCTGCACAACTATGAGCCAGCAATAAATCTTTTATTTACACTGCGTCTTCTACCTGTTTTGAACGAATTCTGAAGAGAGATGCCGCAAGAAAAGATACTAAAATCCTTATAATTAAAGCTCAAATACCTTCATGACAATTAAACCTTAATAATGCCAGCATTAATTCTGTTGTTTTTTCTACGTAACTGGTAAAATCATTTTTTAATACATCTGCCCAATGATGCAACAAACGACAGGCAGTCTGTACTATTTCGAGGAGGCCTGTTTTAACATGAAAGTCCTTAAACAGAAACATCATTAGTTTTTGATTGTAAACTCTTCCTTTTAAATTTTATTAACAGAAATTATTTCAAAAAACGTTTCGGAAGAATCTTCTTCCTTCTTCAGTTTGAAAAAATAATGAATGACATATAGAACTATTTGAGAAACACATACTATATAATTTATTCTTTTTTCCCCCTCTCTCTCTCTATAATAGTGGGAACGGACGGACAACAGGACGTTTTACCGTCCCATTACTCATAATCTCTTAACTGTCTCTTTGATTGTTTAAATTCAATCTTCCTTTTTATATGATCAATATTTTTGTGCAACAAGGGCATCCAAGAATAATCTAGATCATTATGTCTATTTATCGACTTGTTCATAATTGAATAAATAGATTCTTTCACGTCTCTTTCTCCAGTCTATGTCGTTATCAATAACAAATGCATTTGATGGTCTGAACATGCACTGAAATTTATTTGAGTGGAAATGCTGGACCATTTCAGAGTTAGACTGTTGGTTATCTTTCAA